TCTTTGTCCTGTCGTTTTTTGGCGCTGTAAATACTGATCACGTGGGGCCTTCCGCACACAGCCCCAGACCGGAAGTGCGCCCGACGCGCCACCCCCGCGCCGTGACGCAACGGAGATTAACGTTGATAGCGCCATCTCTTGTTCTAGAATCACACTAAGTGAGGCTGGGGTAGCTAGCAGCTCCCTTGGCTATGAATGCCCACCTGAGCTTTTCGCTCATAAATGTGCGTTTAAGGTGAATGAGAGGGTTGAAATGCAGACATGCTTGTGGAAGTGTGCGATTATGCAAGGCAATTAGCAATTAGCCCAAATCGAAATTACAAATAAAACAAAGTTTAAAAATTTTGAAGGACGGAAAATGGGACCAAGACAACGCCTCAATAAGCTTCTACCGGCTCATCGGCACGCTATTTTTTTTTACTGTTAATTAGGCCCGAAGAAAGCTCAGTCGATTCCCTGCTCCTGTGAGACGTTTTCTTTTTGTATATTTTCACGTTCCGTTTTATTTTCTCGAAGTTTTTTTTCTCTGTTTTTGCGTTGAGCGTTTATTTGAAGCCTGTTTTTTTGTATAAGTTTTAATATGGCGGGCACTAGAGAGCTTAAATTTCCCCCCTGAATACCCCGACTCACTGTTTAAGTTTCTGCAAGTTGACTGATATGATACGCTTTGACGACTGGATACAGTCCTGCGGGCCAGATTACGCGAAAGTTAATTCGGGAAGGTAGAAATATTGCTGCCTTTAATTAGATTACACTCACTGTCTTGACATCTGTTGTAACAGATAACCCTATATTGAAAAAAAAAATTATTTAAAGATCGTCCTTTTGTCAGATAGGTTTATATATATATATATATATATATATATATATATATATATATACAGGGTGTTTTTTTCAGCTTAACATAATTTTTAAAAAGAAGCCATGAAAGCTAGGCTAATGCGGTCTGCGCAGGTGAGGTATACTGCGAGGGGGACATAGTATAGGGGGCTAATAGTGACAATCAGTCGGCTAATTAGTCAAAATTTGGTAATTAACTTTTTAATTATTGAGAAGAGACATATAGTTCCAAATATAAACTTGCTCAGGGTCATTGAAAACCACTAAATCAGTAATTTTGAGAAAGACTGAACGCGTGAGAAGCGTAGTAGTGCACTACAGTTACCGCTCGTGGAACAGGTACAAGGCTGGGGCGAGATAAGAGAGGGAAAAATTGCGCGAGCGCCTTATCGCAACCTCTAGCTTTGTACGTGCTTCACGAGTGCTAACTTTAGTGCACTACTACGCTTCTCACGCGCTCAAAGTCTTTCTGAAAATGACTGATTTAGGGGTTTTCGATGACGTCCAGCAAGTTTCTATTTGAAACTATATGCTTATTTTCATTAATTAAAAAGTTCATTAACGATTCTTAACTAATTACCCGACTGATCGTTACGATTAGCCTCTTATATTATGTCCTCCTGGCCGTGTAACTCACCTGCTAGACCGCATTAATCTAGCTTTTATTGTTTTTGAAAAAAAAATTCTGTTAAGCTTAAAAAAAACACCCTGTATCTACACAGCATATTATTATTATTTAGGAATACTGCAGGCCAATTGCGGCCCAAGCAGGATTGAGGGTTACAAAAGTGGAGTAAAAAAGAAAAAAAAACGCAACACCAGGTAATCCGTAAAATGGGAGAGGGGAACAGGGGAAAATTATGCAAAAATTGTAATAAAGCACATGTAATAGCTCACAACAAAGTTGGGAGGAGTGGCGGTAGTGGGGAACAGGAAAATAAAACACGATGCAAAGAGTTACACATCAAACAAACGCTCAATCGACTCCAAAACATTGTCAGATATAAATATGTGATGGGGTAGGTTGTTCCATTCTGTTATGGTTCTGGGAAAGAAGGAGTATTTAAATGCATTTGTTCGAGCGAATACTGGAGTTATTTTATGCGGATGGTCATGCCTTGTGCGCATAGTCGATGATGGGTGAAGAAAGGACGACGATTCAAGCCAGAGTTTTTTAAACCAGAGTTGATAAAGAAATTTTAGTCTAGCTAGCTTCCTTCGTGATTCAAGAGAGATGATGTTGTTACTTTGAATTAAGGCAGCAGGTGAGTCATGCGGGTGGTAGCGATTAAATATAAAACGAGCTGCTTGCTTTCGAACATCTTCCAGCATCTTGATATCTTTTTTTGTGAATGGATCCCAGACTGTACAGGCGTATTCTAACTTCGTTCTTATCAATGTGTTATAGGCTAAAAGTTTCACATGAGAAGGCACGTGCTTAAGCTTGTGCCTTATCATACCTAGTTTTCGACGGGCAGCTGCACAAACGTTCAATGTGTGAGGACCAAGATAAGTTGCTAGAAATTGTTATACCAAGATATTTAAAGCTCATCGTTCGAGAGATGTAGTTATCACCAATAAAGTATTCATACTGATGAGAGGACTTTTTGTTAGTGATGCGCATGTACAAGGACTTTTCTTGGTTAAGCTTCATCTCCCAACGATCGCACCAGCTAGAAACTGCATTAAGACTTTCGTTCAGAACAACTTGGTCCGTAGTAGAGTTAATATCCTTGAACAATAGACAGTCGTCCGCAAATAAACGAATACTCACGCTTTTATCAATACAAAAAGTGAGGTCATTAATAAAAATTGAAAAAAGAAGAGGGCCAAGGACACTCCCTTGCGGAACACCCGAAATTACAGGAAGAGGATCAGAATGGTGACCGACTACATCGACGAATTGTTTTCGCATTTGAAGATAAGATGAAATCCATTGAACAACTGTGGTGGGAAGGCCAATCTCATTTAGCTTGTATATAAGACCGGAATGAGGAACTCTGTCGAAGGCTTTGCTAAAATCAAGGAAGATGACGTCGACTTGACCAGGCCTATCTACTATAGAAGCAAAAGAATGAATAGTTGAAATGAGCTGAGTAGTAGCAGAAAGTCCCTTTCGGAACCCATGCTGAAAAGGCGAGATTATTTCATGTTTATCGAGGAAATCATTGATGTAATTAGAAATTATATGTTCCAGTAGTTTACACAAAGAGCTGGTGAGTGAAATTGGGCGATAATTTGTTAACATTGTACGGTCTCCTTTTTTAAAAACGAGTACAACCCGAGCAATTCGCCAATCTGAGGGAACAACGCCACATGAAAATGACAGCTGGAAGATAACAACAAGGAATCTAGAAATCCACTCAGCCTAACGACGAAGAAATGCATTTGGTATATCATCAGGACCATTTGACGATTTAGGTTTGAGGTTAAGTAGCATAGAAAAGATACCTTCAACCGTGATGAACTCTGAGCTTATTTCAGTTTCTTCGTTAAAGGAGGAATGTCTAGTGTAAGACTTCGAGAACACTGACTGATAGAAAAGATTAAACTCCGTAGCTATTTGTTGTTTGTCGTGAACCAACATTTCCCCAATTTTGACATAATCGACAGTTTTTTGTTGATTTGAGCTGAGATCATAACCGCAAAAATAAGCTAACTCGCTAAAAGAAAAGCTTTTTTTTAGTTCAGTTTAAGAAAGTGACTGATTTAGAGAACGCGATAGAAATAAATAATTAAAATAGAAAGGAAGTGAAAGATGATAATTAGGGAAACAACAGCTAGCGCACTTTTCACTCGCCATTGCCTAATGGCAACGGCGAGAAGAGCAGTTCAAACGGCCCGCCTAACTGCAACGGAAGACGTAAAAAAGCTTGCATTGGTCGTTTGGAGCACATTCAGCCAGTTTTGATGGCACATGGGTTCTTTACGATCGGAATTTTACAGCACCCATAATTTGTGGTCAGACACGCTTTACGGCCGCGTCAGTTAAAAGAAAAGAAAAAGAACAACATCATTTTGAGGTTGTAGATTCGTCATACGCAAAGATACAATCGAATTTTACGGAAAGCGCCGATTAGACTCTGACGATGATAACGCCGCGTTTTTGTAGACGAATTCTATTTGGCGAGCTTCGCGAACTTTTGACTCCAGCTTTGTGTTCGACGAGTCTCGAGCTCCCGGAAAAAAAGTCTTAGGTCAACCAGGAAATGCAATTAACGCAATATTGAAAAAATTTCGGTGTTAACAGCTCTCAGAATCACAGCCGGATCAAAATATTTTAAGCGTAGAAACACCTCTCCAGCGCTTATCACACGGCCGAAAAATATATCATTTGCTATATAACCCAAGCATCGAGGAGAATGCAGGGATTGGCGTTCCACGCGCCGCACGCGCACGCCTTCCCCGTATAAAAGATTCGAAGTAAATAACCAAATAAAACGTTGACGAACGCGCGTGCAAGATGCCATTTGTTTTAGGTATTTGCATTAGAAAAGCTACTACTGCTGAGGCCAGCACGTGCGGCGCGTGGAACACCAATCCCGGCATTCTCCTTGATGCTTGGGTAATATAGCGATAGGTCTATTCCGAGTCATTGGGCTGTGGACGCAATTGCGGCACCTGATATTCCGCAGAAGACAACTACTGCGCATGCCCAGAACGCCTTCCACAGCCCAGTAGACGAAAAAAGGCAGCGTGCAGAAGGTGAATATTATACTTGGTTTTAGCTTATGTCCAGACGCTGCCGACGTTACGAGCTAATGGGAGGAATGAAGCAGCGCCAAAAGCGCAAGTCACTGAACCTTTTTTGCTTATGATTGGTTCAGCCATAATAGAACGCGTACAGAAACATGAAAAAAACTCTGATGGTGTGCTTTTCGTGCTGTCTGATTGGTGCCCTCAGCTCGTAGCGTCGCCTGCGTCTAGACTATAAAGGTGAGACGAAGGGTAGGATGGTCTATGACCAACTTCTAATTTATAAATAACCGTACCTGTTCACAAAAACTGCGGTGGACGTTGTGCATGGTTGGAGCCCGAAGTCATAGCCTGGGCGATTGACATCACAAATATAAGTTCGCGTGTACACCTGAGCACGGCTGGAGTAATTCCAAGGTCCGCGTCGGCGTCTCGATTCCTGACGAGGCTCCTGGACTCCGCAGGTCTTGTCTCGGCGGACAGAGACAGTCTGCAGTGGATCTTGACGAAGCAGGGCGTGGGCAACGCGGCCGTCGTCGTCGTCGGCGGTGCTCAAGAAGCCCTGGACGCTCACAAGGGCAAGTCCGTGCTGACGCTGAGGAACCGCAAGGGATTCGTCCGCTGCGCACTGCAATGCGGGTGGGTCCCACAGACAGTGAAGTCAAAGGTCATACACACATTTGCATATAAGCGCGAGGCGCTCAGTTGCGGCAAGCGAATACAGAACGTTGTGAAGTTTGTTTGCGCAAAGCTTGCGCACAGCTGGGTTGAAACGCAGTCGTCCGTAACTCATAGTCGATACGAATACGCTATCGTCGTTTGCGGCTCACCAATACTAAGCGAAATCCGTGGCAACACAGTGGCACCCGGCGATGCCATCGACATGGCCGGTGTTGGGGTGATCCCTTAGGCTTCTTGGACTTCTATCCAGCTTATATCATCGCAGCTTTGGAATAGCCTGTTCCCGCAGTCCTCATCGTTCCCCAACAAGCTAATGGCGAATTCAACTGGTCGTTTTGGAGCGCGCCGGGATCGACTTATCTGGAGCGAGCCTATTTCACTGGGCGATCGGAGTGAAGACGGACGTGTTCCACTGGTAGTTTAGCATTAGCTCCCGCTCCAGATCTCGATCTGGATCCCAGAAAAGTCGCTCCGACGATTTCGGCGGATTCAACCGGAAGCCAGCCGGGCCAGCCCTCAGCGCACACACGTGACTTCCTTTCTCGCGGGGCATCTCGCCTGATCTCGCCTATTTGGCCTCAGAAGAATTCATAATGGCCGCTTGCTTACCCCTTGGCTCGACAGCCGGTTCGTTTTCCAAGAAGGAGAAGGTTTTGCCGCGCTAAGGGCATTCCGGCAATCCTTGCTAGAAGCTCCTGAGCCATTCCTGTTGCTCGTGCGTCGAGCACGTGTTAGCGCCGAAATTGCGAAAACGTCTTCGAAACGACCGCGGCGGCCGCGGAAAGGGGATTTCCGGGCACTTGAATGACGGGAAAGCATCCGCCGATCCCGGAGCAGTGGTCATGTTCCAAGGGGATCCGTAGGCGGCGCGACCCCATTCGGATCATTTGCTCCAGTCCGGATCTGGTCAACTGATCCCGGTGCGCTCCAAAACACCCCGTGGAATTCGCCATAAATCAAGATCCAGTCTTAAAACGGGAAAGCGGATGTGCGTCGTCGAAGTAAACGAAAAAGCACTTGACCCTCCTTTTTTTTTTTCGGCTCCTGATTGGTCTGCCACAGCACTCGGTATGCGGAGTCGCGTTGAAAAGGTTAGTCCGGTTCAACTTTCTTGCCTTAAGCAACCGCTCCACGCCGCAATTACCACTCTGATACTCACTCAGACCCATATGTGTGTATGGGCCTTCAGGCTCTGCTGTAAAAAGAACATACTAGACCTCCATCTTAGACCAGCCTCAATACGTTTTTAGTGAACCGGTAGATAGTTGTGAGCTTATCGTTCAAGATATCGACAACATAGGAAGTTTGGACTAGTTAGGCGCCGCATCTGAGTGATTATTTCGTTTATATAACATGTTAGAAAGTGCTACTCAGCACACTCTGTGCTGTCTGCTTGTTGAAACCGGCAGCCGCGTTAGGGTTCGCGCTCTATGCCCAGTGATAGCCTTTGCTTAGGAATTCACATACTTGCTGGGACGCACTTTGAGACATTTTGCTACCCATTTTGATAATTTAAAATTTCGAACAGACGATTCATTAGATATTTCTACAGAAGCATCTTACACATCCTGAAATTTGTGAGGGTGCACGTTTATTTGATGATACAGTGTATATTGCTGTTCGGTGCCCGCGCGAAGACAAGGTAAAAAGAACAACAACATATGAAGCCAATGTGAGAGTACCAGTCACGCTTGAGCAATAGTCGTCGGGTTTGGAGTGGAGTACGTTTATTGAAGGGACTCCAGAGTTCCTAAGAAAGCGCAAAAACATGTTTGGATAAATTTACGTTAATCTAGACTGCTGATAACAAGCACCTTCGAAACGTAGCTTTATTATCTTATACCTATATGTTAATTTAAATGTCAATCTGGTTGTATTCCTGCTATTTTTCAACCAGCCTCGTTTCAAAGAAGGCTAAAACGGCTTCTCGTTAACCCTGAGATGGGGAACGATAAAAAAACGGACGAACACAACAAAATCTCCAACGCAGCTCACAACACAACAATCTCAAACGCAAAATCTCAGAACGCAGCTCAGGGTTTACAAGATGTCGATTGTTTACCAGCTCGCCTGCACTCTCTCACTGCTTACAAAAACGGCTCTCGTCCCTACGCTGCTTTTTTTAAAATTTTCTAGACAAGAACTAACGATTCTTTAAAATTTTCTCGCGAAGCTCTGAACTGCACATATCAATGACCGACAGTGTATAAAGCTTTAGGTGAATATACAAACTCCCCTCCGTACCTGGACTGAAATGGAACTTGTTTTAACTGTTCGCATGATCCTGGGGACTATAGTATGTTGTAAGCATACCTCCACGCATTTAATGTTTAAGGTCGAATTGGCTTTGATTCAATAGAAATAACCTAAACTTTTTATAAATATCACGGAAGTGAGGTATCTTTTAGATGTGGGTAGCCGAGTGTGCCGGTGCACCGCACCACGAAGAACGCCGAGCGAAAGCTCGCACTGCAGAACCCAGGGATCCTGAGTTTAATAGTCGTCCCTGCTCGTTTCGATCTTGATGATCTTTGTATGCCGGCGTGCTATCGTGTAGCACAACTGCGTGCTGCACGTTAAAAACCCCGGGACAGAAGTGGTACTGAACTGACTTCTATCATCTACACCGAAGACACCAGACGCTTATTGAGGCTGACTATATAACTTTCCGCCGTCTATACAAGCAACACATATATTATTAGGTATCCCTATTTACTTCTATAAATTAACCATAACCATTAATTATTTAAGCCACTTGTAGTTTGCTTTCGCTGTCAGCTTTTATCAATTCGCTGGCGTCCTTCAACCTTTCTTCGCCACTTGTTTCGTGACATTTCGAAGCCTATTTCGGGCACTGGCAAATGCCGCGCATTGTCCTTCTCCAGGGCCGACCTCGTGCCAGTTTTCTCCTTCGGCGAGAACGACATCTACTACCAGGCGAAGAATCCACCGGGCTCGAGGCTACGCTGGTTCCAGGAAAAGATGAAGGCCTTGACGGGATTCTCACCCGTCATCTTTCACGGGAGAGGCATATTTCAGTACAACTTCGGCTACGTACCTTTCAGGGAGAGAATCGCCACCGTGGGTAAGTCAGTCGACCGTGATATCAAATACTTTACACCAGCGGGAACGCATACTACTCCTGTCATTTGCGTTAAACAGCTCGCCCAATAGGGTGTTAAACCGCAATGTGTGTGTACATTTTGCGTCTTGGAGAAATCATGCAAAAATGTTCCAAAAGCCGGGTGAATTCATGGTTAAAAAGTTTACTCCGACTTAACATAACAAATTAATAACACAAGGTACAGACGTTTCGCCACCTATGCAGGTGGCACCTTCAGTGCATACTGACATCACTGAGACGAGCAGTCAACCAGTTACCCTCCCCCTCCCCTTTCCCCTGAGACCGGTCGGGACTACACCCCTCTCCCCACAACCCACCCCAACCCCCCGGCCTCTAACAAACCGGTCGGGACACGCACTCTCCTCCCGGTCGGGACGGCGCCCGCGAGCCACCCAAAAAGAGGAACGGGGGAAACCATGAGAGTGCGGCTGGAATTCTTCCCCCCCCCCCCCCCCCCCCCTACTCCTACCAAACCTGTCCACGGCACGGTCACGCCGTACGGTCTCTGTGAGACGAAGTCTACTTATCAGCAATGTCCCCGTAAATGTCCGGCAGGAAGCCACGGTTCGTGTTGCACGTGGATGGGTCACGACGAATGAACCATGATTCAAGTAACTTCCTTGGGCCCCACCGCTGGTCTCGACCTAACGTCGCCGCATTGTCCAGGTCAAACGTGTGCCCTGTCGTCCAGCAATGGTCGACAAGTTCAGTCTTTAATCGTGTCGCGTGCGTGGCCTTGGCCACATCTCTTTTGTGTTTCTTCAGTCTCGTTGTCCTCTTTCTTCCTGTCTCGCCAATGTACGTAGCAAGACAGGAAGAAAGAGGACAACGAGACTGAAGGAACACAAAAGAGACGTGGCCAAGGCCACGCACGCGACACGATCAAAGACTGAACTTGTCGACCATTGCTGGACGACAGGGCACACGTTTGACCTGGACAATGCGGCGACGTTAGGTTGAGACCAACGGTGGGGCCCAAGGAAGTTACTTGAATCATGGTTCATTCGTCGTGACCCATCCGCGTGCAACACGAACCGTGGCTTCCTGCCGGACATTTACGGGGACATTGCTGATAAGTAGACTTTGTCTCACAGAGACCGTACGGTGTGTTATTTATTTGTTATGTTAAGTCGGAGTAAACTTTTTAATCATGGAGAAATCATGCGCGCCGTCTGGGTTGTCGCGCAGTTGTGCCTGGCGCCGAGAGAGGGAGCCGCTGGCACACCGTGATGTACGCGCTCGAGTTTCGTTGACGATAGATGGCGGCAGTTACACTTCTCTCGATATCAAAATACTGTTACATGAATGATAAAAAAGAACTCTGCAGACATGTTGAAAGCATACATACATATGAAGAAAATGAGCTTATAACATGCTTAAGAAGTGCCCGTGGATAATTTTCTCATGTCTTTGCATGATGTCTCAGAAGTGCGACTGCAGTTTTGCTGTTTCAACTCTGTTCTCACCGGGTCTCAAGGCTTACTGTCACGTTTATCTCCATACTGTTGCGGCATCTATGAGCGACGGCGGCAATCAGACAACCGGCAAGCCGGTTGTCTGGTTGCTGCCGTCACTCACAGATGGCGGTAGCTGTCCAGAGTTTCGTGTCATTATTTGTTTGCTAACGGACACGATACTGGGGAAACTAAACCTTAACAGCTCCACTGTAAAACACTATAAATGAATATAAGACTGACAATATATGTTTAATGAGCGAACTTGTACCATAAACAAAACACAAAAAGGTACATATTACATATATAGAAAGGCACACAAGAAAGTGCATGTTGCGACGGCAACAAAGCTTGGTGCGACTGATGTTGTGCTTTGCGACCCGCAACCTTTTCCTCCTCTGGCTAGTCGAAAAACTCCCAGGAGACGACAACCGTCACTTCTACAGTATTTTTATAGAACGCTGAAAAGTCGTCACGTTGAAAGAGGCCTGATAACTCTTGCACGCGGTAACCTGAACCTCGCAAACTTGTGGTACGCGCCAACATCCACAAAGAAACGTTTTCGCTTTTAATGGCTCATAGCAAACTAGGATACGGGTTCATTCACATAGGGCAGATGTCCAAGGTAGGCCAACATTAGTATTTTTTCTGTGAAATTAGAGCCAAAAATTGGAAGAAGAAAAAGTGGAGGGAAACTTAACATTTTTCGGCCAGAGTCTGGGCACCTTGGCCCTAATAGGTCGAACAAGTGTCTAAGTTAGGCTTCACTGCTGTACCGTTTGACTGGCATTGGGCATCTTTGGGCCTAAATCGCCAAACAAGTGCCAGATTTAGGCTTCGCTGCTGGTTCTATGGTTCAAGCGTGGCATCTTTGGCTCAAGTCCGGCTCTGCGGGAGTTACGTGTCCGGCCGGGAAAATGCAGTAGAAACACCAAACAAAAACACTCCGGCACTAACTAATGCCTTGGAGCAAAACCGTATTACGGCCAAGTTAGGTCCCTAGAAGTGCCCAGCTTGAGTAAAGTTAGGTGGTTCTCTGGCGTACTACCTGGGATGTGTGTTTTATACACGACCCCAACAAATCACCCTTCTCAGCTTTCAAAAAGAAGTAAAAACAAAACAAAACAATATCGGCAAGAGCGTTTAGCAGTAATTGGCCAGGCGGCGCCGCGACTTCGCCCGTGCATCACAGATTCGCTTCTTCCCCACGGTTTAGCACTCTAGGGCCGGTGGCTTTTCGACCGGCAGCCCCACGGGTGCCACCGGCATCTTAAAAGCATCAGGTCAGACAGCGACCCCGGAAGTGTATTTTACATAAGGGGGCCAGCGGTCGAAATGAAAAAAAGGGGGGCGGGAGGGAGAGGGGCAAGGGAAAGAATGAAAAACAACAACAACAACAACAAAAAGCATTACCAATATTTTACTGTTTATAGAAGGTTTATTACCACTACCTATACCGTATGCCCACACGTTCACACTAGGACCTGTACGCCTCTTCAAAGTCATCAACATTTAAACCCGATCTCGTTTCATGACCCCTTTAATTACTGACTTTTTTGAATTTATTTATTTACTCCCATCTTGAACAATAAAGCAAAATATACAACAAAGTAATTTTTGTGGTTTTAAGTATATAAGGCTCAAACTGGCTAATCCACCCTCTTCTAAAACCGGAACTCTCGTGTCCCAAACTAACAGACTTCTGCATACAAATAATACAAGAAATAATTAAGACTGAATGTGATTGTAATATAGCAAACTCTATCATTTTGTGCACATTCACAGGCATCTCTTATTAAGATCAAGGAGGTATTTTCGACTTCCTCTCTTACATGCGGTCTGTTTTAAGAGTAAAATATTTCAATTAGTTTTGGAAATGGTCTTGTTTCTTTTACGTTCAGTAATTTAGAAGTTCGCAACCATTTAGACGTATTACTCTAAGCCAGGGGTGGCCAGGCTGACCCGGCCAAGAGCCGCAGACAAAACCACTAAACTTCTAAGGGCCACCTAAAAACAAAAAGGCAGAAAAAAAGAAAGAAGCGGGGGGGGGGGGGGGGGGGGGGGGGGAAGGGGCGAGGCGTCCATGCTTCTTTTTAGGCCAATATGTGCATAAAACTTGAACTACTTTAGATCTATCCAAGTCAAAAGCAGTCCAATTGTGCGTACTTATGGTACCGGTAGCACAGGACCAAAGCGCAACCTGTCTCGTTCCTTTTCTCTTCTTGACAAAGTGCTTGAAGAAAGGCGTCCGCCCGAAACGTCGTGTACACCTCCTTGTTCGCGTATGTTTTTCGAGAAGCACAACCTTATTACTTGAGATTACGTGTTTTGGCTCATTGTGCTCGGCAGCACCCCCATTCTCTTGACCGGGAGGGAGGCGGGAAAGGAGCGGGGCTGTTGGTGTACTAGTGAGCCACGAGCCGCACACACGCAAAGAGCCGCAGCTTGGCCACCCCTGCTCTGAGCTAATAATAAAAGGTCATACCTCAGAGGCTCGTAAAAAAAAATAAAAAAAATTGCAGCGATCATATTACTTGATGGCAGAAAAGGTGCCTCGCACTGGCAGATCAGATACGGGCTCCAGAGCAGTTGCTTACAGTTGCTGCCTCTCGAAAATTTTTGGGGGACACCTGAAGAGTCGGCTCCTCGAAACGCCTGTTAGTGGTTAGAAAGAAATGTTCCGGGAGGTTCCCCGATATTTCTTTTTGCTTGTTTTAAATTTGTCGTTTCGGGGGAAACTTTCTCTTTGGAACTACGCTAAAAGACCAAAAATGTACAAAAAATAATGTGTAGCATATGTTGCTCGGGTAGCCTTCGGCAACACTTACTTGCCTTCCAACTGAAGGCCCGTTCACACTTTTGCAACCGAGTACGACCGAGAGAGGGGAAATCTGTTAAAACTTCTTAAAAATTTCTTAGGACGAGTGACCACACTGGCATTCTGGCGCCATCTATGCGGTGACCCTGGAACTGCATTTCACAAGGGCGAAGGTTTCGCGGGATATCCGAGGACAAATGTGCGTAATACCTATAAGAAAGGCTCGTTTATAACGTTGACAAAAGTTTTTCGAGCCAAGAAAGAAAGGATAATGCGCGAGAGAAATAGTAAATATGCCGGACCACCAAGTTTACACTGCTACCCAATAGATGGTGCCAGTGTGTCCTCTCGTTGTAAGAGGTTTTAAGGAGCCCAGTTTTAAGAGGTCGCAAGAGTGTGAACGGGCCTTAACGATTGTCCGTACAACGCGTCGAGGGTTCCCCAGTACAATAAAGAACTCCGTGGCCGGCCTTCCGTCTGAATTCATTCAGAAGAGACCTCAAAGGGACCGCCAGCGTCGGCAGCTTTGCTCCCTCCGACAAAGAGGGTGGGAGGCAACGCTTATATTATGTTGCTCTAGCACAGTTTTTTGCAGTGAGCTCAGAAACACCAGCTCGTCTAGAGAAACCCTGTTTCCCCGTTGAAGAAAAAAAAGAAAAAAAGAAAAGGGTGGGGGTGTGGGGAATGGC